CTCTTTACTTCAATTCTTGGTGACTGCTGCAAATCAATATTCAAGACACTCCTAATTGTCCAATTGATCTGAAATCTTGCACACTTGCGTAAAGTCGGAGACAATGCACAAATCATTTGACAGAATAAATAATTAAAAAAATTAACTTATTTACTATTTAACAAATTGAAAAAATAATTTTGTCTGCTACAAATCTTATAATCGATATTTAACACACTTCTACCCATGGTTGAATTAATACACTTGTCGAATCCATGGTTGAACTAATACACCTGTCCAATCGATCCTGAAATTTGACGTGGCGGATAATAATTTACACGTCTCTGACAAATTTACGGCCGGACCTGCGGCCGGACTCCAAACATAGAAAAAACCTAGCCAATCAACGAAAATCTCGCAGGTTAGGTCCAGTTAGGAACAGGTTCCATTAAAAACACAAAAAACCTAGAAAACCCATAAAAACAATAAAAAAACCTTTCCGGCCGCGGGTTCGGCCGTAAATTTGTCCGAGACCTGCTCGATGAAACTTGGTACACGTATTCATTAAGACCTAACGGTGATGTTAAGCTCGTAAAATTTTTACAAATGTTGCTTTCTTTCGTGAGTTATATGGCGATACGTGCGGAAATTCGCAGAGAACGAGACAATTCTTCTTAAGTACTGAACAGAAGTGAAACGAAACTTCGTGTATGAATACCCAAGGCACTTGGACACGGGGACAGTTCAGGCGGCAAGTTGGTCTGGCAACTGTCGGCCGCTTGATGACTATCCGGCAATTAAGCCTGTACACGAGGCCAGTATAAGGTGCCGATATCATCTCGTTCGCGCCCGCCAGTGCGTCGTTTGAAGCCGTCGAGTAAGGTTTGTGAAAATGGATAGTGGGATCACCTTAAACAACTTGAGTCTGTACGTTGTTTTTATACTCTTTATTCTAGCCCTTAAAAATGCAACGTCGGGAACAACTAAACCCTAACTAATAGGGTCTTCCGTCAGTTTCAAAATACTCATTTCTCTCTTCATTTTGTTGAGGCAACCATCATGGCAAACATTCCACTTATTCATATTATTGTAATATCTCAAAGAACAATTGAAACGGTGACAGGCCACATCAGGCCTACACTGCAGCGCCGAGATCACTATGTTATGTTAATATCGCCTGGACTCTACTTTGTTGGGTTCTTCTTAGAATCATTATCTTTCAAACAAGCCATGATCCACTTGACCCAAGATACTTCACAAGATCGGCACAGATACTCTCACCACGGCTGAATCATCGCTACTAGCCACTTCTAAGTTGAAGTTCTCCAGCGAAGAAATCAACACATCGTTGTCCCTCTCGGGCACATGCCGGCGCAGGCCTCTGAAGCGGCTGAACACCCTATATATACACGGGGACAGTAGTGTGGACTGTGCTGGAATAAATCCCAGCATTAGCTTAACTATTAGTTTTAGTTTTAATATTTTTTAGTATCCGCGTACACGGACAGGCTCGTTCCGGGTTATTTAGAAATTTTGGCGGTTAGAGAAGCGTCGATCCCTGTTCCTGGGATAAACAACGGTGTGACGCGTAGACGAAGTAACATTTGTGAGTTATTTTATCGTGACTAATTTTGTTCATGTTGTAGAAGTGTACTCTTAGCAACTGTCTGCAATGCGACTCTGTGAAATCCAAACATTAGTTTGAGATATTTTCCCTGGCCAGTAGCTTAACTTGTCCTATGCAGTATTACTTAGCATATGCGACCTGTATTCTATAAGAATTCTGGTGTTCAAGACTCTCGGATAACATGAATATGAGTTCGGATACTTTCTGATGAGTTCTGTCACTTTCTAACAACTGTGCATCATTTTCATGTAATTTTGCCTGATTTATCAGTGATATGAGCAAGGATGTTCAAGCATTGTTTACTGTTTCATGATGTTCTATCTCATGATGCACAACATGAAAACTATGTTCTTTTCATTGAATCCGGTTAAACTCATAAATGATCTTGATACTGTCAATTATTAGCAGTTTTGCCCCATTTATAACGTGTGTTTGTTTTTTCTGAGACTGATTCTCTAGCTTACTGCAATATCAAAGTGAGTGTGCAAATTAATCCAATTGTCCATGATTATTGAACCAATTACTATTTTAAATTCACTTGTGTAATGTAACCAGGCAGTTTGTACTGTATAACTCTGAGCGAAATTTTTCCTCAACAAATATTTCCTGTTGCCGCCTATATAGAAATTTTTGAATATTCCTTAGCGTCTTGAATTGCTCAATAGTTACCGACTAACGTTTTTTAGGAGTTACTATTAGGACTAATTTTAAGTTCTGCCTTCTTATGGTACTCTGTTTTGCAGAGCACGTCATGTGAAGATGGACTGAAAAGAAGTACAGTTAGATATTAAAAAATCTGTATTTCATTCTCCGCAAACCATCTGCGTCCTCTGGCATTGAGGACGCGTCATGGACAGTTCAAACGACGGATGAACTAGCGGCCAGTACTGTCCCCTTGTACAGGCACCTTAACCTCCCAACGGTGATGTTTAGCTCATGACAACTTTTTTCGATTTTGCCTTCGTTTGCGAGTTATACGGCTATACGTGCACGGATCTTGATCAATGCAAATTTATAAATCGGCCTGAGAAATGCCGGTCGTTTCTTCGTACATCCGTATAACTCGCGAACGAAGGCAAAATCGAAACAATTGTCACTCATGAGCTAAACATCACCGTTGAATAGTTAGGAATGTATTTTCAAAACTTCATACAAATCTGTTCAGTACTTAGGAAGAAATATCTTCTTATCACGCTTAAATTAGCGAGCTTCAAGGTACTACCAGCTGCAGTTTGAGTGAGACAAGATTATTATACGGTTGCTCGTATTATAGTGATCAAGTCTTCTAGGATAATCGACTTAGCCAAGAAAACGCTCAGATTTGAGAGGCTGCCTACCCAATGCATCCACAAACTAATTAAAGGGCATCGCCTGTGTCATAAAAAACTTTTTTGTATTTATCGACAGATCATTTTGAAACTTGGTAAAAATATATAAAACAGTAATTAATAACTTTTTGTTCGTGTAAATTTTCCGAAAAAAAGAGATAAAACGTGAAATTCATAGAAAACGGAAAAGGGGGGTACTGTAAAAATCTATCTTCTCATTCAATTAACGTGCTACAACATCGAATGGCATACCATTCTATTCGTAAAACCATCCATAGCTAGCGATCGACCGACCATTTTTTTCGGATTTCTTCATTCATGATTTTCTTCTAATTTTTTCCATTCCCCCCCCCCCTCCCTCGTGTTTTCAATATATAATCCAAACTAAAACGAAATAAAAAAAATGTCATCGGTGGATCGCTAGATTTTTTTACGAATCGAATGGTATATCTCTCAATGCTGTAGCTTGATAAGAGGAGATAGATTTTAAGATTGCCTATTTTGGAAATTTTAATTGTTCGGGGGAGCCAAATTAGTAAAATTTATTAAAAAAAAAGAATATGCCAAAAAATAGCTTAGTATTGTAATTCACGCTTTCCCATTGCCAATCAGTTGCACTTAGGGAATATATACCAGCTCTCGTCTTTAGACTTATTCTTGTCAAGTTTAACGTGAATTATAAGCAATAAATGTATTTTTACATTTAAATATCTAAAAAATTATCATTTGATATAAGTTCAAAACGGCTTAACGCAAAAAAAAAACATCGCATGTGTATATCCGCGGTATTTACTTTCTTGAACGCGCATCGTTTGTAGCTTTCAAGCGAGTTCAAACACTTTGCAATTAACATGAATAATGATCTATAAATACTGTTTTTAAATAAAAATTTGTCGATATTGTTGTAAAATGGTCAAGTTATAAAATTTTAAAACCGCCTTACGCAAAAATTATTGCCATATATGGTATTAGCTTTGGTGAACGCGTCTTGATTGAAGCTTTCTAACAAGTGCGAACACTTTGCAATTAACGAGAATAATGATCAATAAATGCACATTTAACTTAAATAAATCTTTGTACATATTGTAAAAATTGTTCATTTTATATATTTTTGAAATTGCTTTACGCAAAAACTAGAGCGTGCACATACAAGCGGTGTACTGCGTTTAGACGCGCCTTTTCAGCAGCTTCAAAATGAGCCAAGAAAACGGAAAAGCCGAATTTATCGCGTATTTTACCCAGACGCTCCTATTAATATCATCTATTGTTGTTCAAGATCATATAGAGCGGAAGTGTTTTATATAGTCTTGGACCCACAATGTGTCAGCGAGGGTCTGACATGCCAAACGATAAAGAACTAAACCGTGATATGAACGAACCCAACATGACCCAGACGAAAACCAATCTCAGATACATAATTACGGAGGGGATGAATAGCAACCCAGTGGTTACAATTCAGAGTACCAAGATTGGCGCAGAGAGGCGCGGGTTCGATCCCAGCTCTGTGTGCCAGTTTCTGGTCAGAATCGGCAAGAAGGCCGGGCGGTTGAGCGAAGCAGAATTGTAGCAGTGAGTTGCGGGTTCGAGACCGCAAAATGCTGCGAATGTTCTGCAATGTTAAGAATCGGCGACAGGCCTACGGCCTTCTAAACGCTGACGCTGCTATTATTATTATTATTATCAACCCACGGAACTGGAAATATCCTGCAGCGTAGTGAAGCGTGATAATAGCTCGCTCATCAACAACTCATCCGATCACAAGTCCGAGTTGGGAAAAGCAGAACTGGCAAAGTAACTAGAAAATGAGAACAGATGACAAACTGAGGAAGGGAGTTCTCTTGGCTTGCAAGAATTAAATAGCCGCGCTGATACCAAACTCAACATTTATTTAACACTGAACAATTGTTTTCAATTGGAAATCAAGCGGCACTCACAAATATTTGCTTAAATGTTCGTTGAGGCGCTACAGGCTTAACAGATTATTCAGCAACCAGCGAATTATTTCTTCATAGCCATATTTTTCGGAAGTTTTTCTGAACTTGATTGGACGAATGAAAGTACCGAGAGAAAATAACACGAGTAATATTTATTCATTACACAGCTGAGATACAAAATACGGAAGGAGAATACAATAGAAACAATGAGTGACATGCCGCGCTGCAGGCATTATATGGAGACCGAGTCAAGAGCTAAGCTTAGGTTGCTAACTTATTTATATGCAAGAACTATGAACAGTTAATTCCTATAGGATCTATTTACCGAGATATGTTATGAATTTAGAATTAAGTTCTTAGCACAGACACCAGGCATGCGAGTCAGGCTAGCCACGGACGAGCCTGGCGTGAATATCAGGACGCAGTAATGGCAACGGAAAGCTTCAATAGACAGAAAATAAATAGACGTATCAGTGAAGTTTGGAGTTGACGGGCACACCGTAACTAACGCTTGCTTCGGTCCCTCAGCACAAACTAAATATTTTCGTTCTACAAAGCACATTTCACCGATGAAGGTGAAAATTTACACTGATTACCTTCGGATTTACGCGCAGCAGTCATAGTATAAATAAGTGCATTTACCGTGGCTATGTGTGGCATGACTGTACGTGGCGGAGAGAGGCATGAGTGTACGTGGCGGTGAGAGGCATGAGTGTACGTGGCGGTGAGAGGCATGAGTGTACGTGGCGGTGAGAGGCATGAGTGTACGTGGTGGTGAGAGGCACGAGTGTACGTGGTGTAAATGCGTTTCATTCGCTTAAAATATATATAAACTTATATCACAGAAACAACAACAACGAACAAAAAGAACACGAGAACAAGCAACATCGAGAAACTATCAGAATGATCTAATTTTTATTGAATCATACGTGTGACTCATCCCTGTCATCAGCCTCCATTAATAATTTTATCTCACATCATGCTTAGCTGAACGAGTTTGCCTAATCTTTCTATCATAATAAAGCTATAATTATCTGACAAAATAATTTCACTCCAAATGGATCATTTCGATTTAGAAAAAAAGAAAATCTTCACAAAAGAAAAACATCTCAAAGAAAGGAATGATTCTGCAAATAGGCGGGACCTTATACACCTCATCAAAAGCTACATCCCTCATTCCGCGCCAAACTAGTACACTCGCATCTTGTATTATTTACTACCGTCGTTTTTAAATACTTTTTAGAATTGCCTTGAAAAAAGTTACAGTAGTAATTGCAAATAAATAATTCAGAAAAAATAACTAGTTCATCAAGATGACTTGAGAGCCCTTGATCACGGTCAGCTTACTGTCTGGATACCCTAAGAGTAATCCTCAGGAATACCACTGCAGTAATCGAGCGTCCACGACAGCCTTCACATGTCCTCCTGTTCACACGATCTGTTCGTTGTATTTCGTGTGACGCTCAATGTCGCCGCCCTCACGCAAGTACCTGTAAATGTGAGTGACGTGTGAAGGAAGTCACGGTAATAACCTTACAGAAAGTGCCTTACCTTTCACATTCGTAAATTTTCATGTAGTAATAGAAATTCATTCATTGCTAGTGCGCACACAAGCCTTTTGCTCAACTGATTTATTAGGAACGTTTAAATAACACTAACAATTGCAAACGTATATTTGCCGCCAACTAGAGCTTTTAAAAAAATTCAGGACCTCAAGCTTTAAAAAAAAAAATTCTGAATTGCTTAAAATAATCGCTGTTTGAAGCATTATCATCGTTAAACAAAGAGAGTGTGGCATCTGGTTAAACCAAAGTTCGACAGCACGCTACACAATGAGAGAGCTACAAATTAGCAATAATAATAGGTTGATAATAATACGCCAATAATAATAATCAAATAATAGGCAATAATACAAAGCTTATAACAATTATTATTTAGATAAATGTAAGACCTAGCGATAGCGTAGCGCCTCCAGAGCCTGACGCGGACGGCGGTGATGCTGCAGAGCAGCGCGTGCAGCAGCGGCATGAGCAGCAGGGCCGCCGCCCCCACCACCAACACCGACTGTCCCGCCACCGACCAGTCCATGAACGGATACAACGCCACCCTTCCCATGTAGTCCTGGGGTGGCGACGTTACAAGAGGTTTATTGATAAAAGTTAAAGTTTTGCTGCGCGATAATCGTTACAGCGCGTGCACAAGTCTACGGAGAATGGTCGTGACACTTGAGTAACTCGTTACATTTGAGTTACAGCGCGTGCACAAGTCTACGGAGAATGGTCGTGACACTTGAGTAACTCGTTACATTTTAATTACAGCGCGTGCACAAGTCTACGGAGAATGGTCGTGACATTTGAGTAACTCGTTACATTTGAGTTACAGCGCGTGCACAAGTCAACGGAGAATGGTCGTGACATTTGAGTCTTTCGTTAAATTTTTATTACAGCGCGTGCATATTAGTCGAGACATTTCAGTATGTTGGATAATTTCTATGGGAAGTGCTCAAAATGTCCAGTTTAATTCAATACTATCAATGCTAGTCAAATAGTGAAAATATCATTATTTCATTAAATTGCTACGAGGAAATGCTGATCTGGTTTTACCCAAGGCTGAAAAATACCATTAACTTTATTCACTGCGAAATTTGCTGTAATTTGTTTAAATTAAATCTGATTTAGATTTTCAACAATTCACTTAAGATTCAAAGTACAGTATTTCAAGTGTCCCTCCAAGTTTGAGGCGCAATCGGCAAAAGGTTTCCTATGGTCATGACACTACCAAATTTTATTAAAGTTCTCACGGTAGGTTACAGTGAGCGGTTCTCACGGTACCAGTGAGTGGTTCTCACAGTACCAGTGAGAGGTTCTCACGGTACCAGTGAGTGGTTCTCACGGTACCAGTGAGTGGTTCTCACGGTACCAGTGAGTGGTTCTCACGGTACCAATGAGTGGTTCTCATCACGGTACCAGTGAGTAGTTCTCACGGTACCAGTGAGTAGTTCTCACGGTACCAGTGAGTGGTTCTCACGGTACCAGTGAGTAGTTCTCACGGTACCAGTGAGCGGTTCTCACGGTCCCAGTGAGTGGTTCTAACGGTACCAGTAAGTGGTTCTCACGACTGCAGGCACTGACCGTGCCCCCGCAGACGTAGTAGATGACGTTGAAGGCGACGTAGGCGCTGAAGTAGGCGACGGGATGCCAGGCGTGCAGCAGACGACGCGGCGTCGCGGCGGTGACGGCGTCCAGCAAGACGTACGCGCCAGGGACGAGGTGCGTGTTGATGCTGATCACGCTCAGCGCCTGGTCTGTGACACGCGTGGTGAGCGTAAGTATGAGCGTGGTGAGCGTAAGTATAAGCGTGGTGAGCGTAAGTATGAGCGTGGTGAGCGTAAGTATAAGCGTGTTGATGCTGATCACGCTCAGCGCTTGGTCTGTGACACGCGCGGTGAGCGTAGGTATGAGCGTGGTGAGCGTAAGTAGAGCGTGGTTAGCGTAAGTATGAGCGTGGTGAGCGTAAGTATAAGCGTGGTGAGCGTAAGTATAAGCGTGGTGAGCGTAAGTATGAGCGTGGTGAGCGTAAGTATAAGCGTGGTGAGCGTAAGTATAAGCGTGGTGAGCGTAAGTATAAGCGTGGTGAGCGTAAGTATAAGCGTGGTGAGCGTAAGTATGAGCGTGGTG